TACTGTGAAAAACTAAACCTTAAATTCTTGAAGATTAGTACATCTAATCATTATCGAGAGTTTCCTCAAGTGAGCTCGGTCATTTCAGATGTAATTAACTATAGGGATTTGCCTCTATAAGGAACTTGAAACTCAGGTAACATAAACCCTAACAAATCTTTATATTAGGTAAGAGAACTTTTCGGTCACATATAAAAGGTTCGCGGACCAAACGGATGTCACAAATATCTTAGTTTGAAAGATTGGGTCCATCACCGAGGTATACAATTATCTTTCAGGAATCTGTAGTATTTGTGGTATCGGACGCAATTATGTAAACTATTAGACAAATGAGATATATTCGGTCTCATTATCCAAAAATTAAAACACCACTATTTTCAAAATCAAAATTACATACATTTTATATTAAATTAAATTTAAAAATTATTTTCAAATCAAAAAATTGACCGACAATATTAAGTATCATCTGAGTCATAATGATGAGATGAATAATTCAAGTAAAAACTCAGGTGGAGTTCCTATTTTTCAAATCATTTTTTGTGCTTTTCAAGTGCATTCAACTTATTTGAATTTATTTAAATGTCCAGTAAAATGTGTGCCATATTAATAAGTTCAAAATATAAAATTAAGGTTTTAAAAATCCCACATATACTCATCCTCACAGATGCATCACACTGGATGAGCTACTCTATTTTCCTTATTATTAGAGTAATAAGGAAAAAAATGATCCAAAACTTCTCTATTTTCAGCTACTCTTGAGCTTTTTAATCATTTAAAGTAATGAAAGGTTTCAAATGTGAAAAGAAAAACTTCCCTATTTTCCTTATCATTTCAGCAAAGCATATTATTAAAGAGTGAGACAGATGGAGAGAGAGAGAGAATAAGCTCCTACTTTAGAAAAAAATAATGCAGTGCAATATACATAAAAATTTATCTAGAAACCATGGCTGATTAATAGAAAACTGAGTATTATAATTACGGCTGATTTTAATGGAACCTTTATTAAAGCTCAAGTTAACACAAAGAATTGAACTTTCCAACTCAGTTTAAAGAGCAGAACTCACATTTGTTAATGCTAGGTTTTGCTGGAATTCATTTCCTATGCCAATGGAAGAATTCCAATTACATTATATAAACTAAAGCGAAGAATGTTAAATCTTTCAATCAGTACAGTTTCTTTTAAATCATAATCGGCCCAAAAAATTTTCAGCCGAGTAGACACTATCATTAAGAGAGCTTGAGCGAACTCATCAACATGTTTCTCGTAGCGCCTCAGGCCTAAGTCTCCCGGTATGCAGCAAAATATAGAAAAAATAACCTATGAATTTTTCGTTTAGTTGAATAATGTTGCCAATTGTAATGACCCCACGAGAAATGTCGAAATAATTCCTTAAATAATAATAAAATAAAAAACCTCTAAGGTGCATTTCAATAATTCCCCCTTCTTTATCCAAAGGAGTTCAATAATGTTAATGGGTTTTTACCTACCCACCACTTAAAAATTTACTAATAACATCTTTTTAGCCACTAAGCCCCCTCCCGTCTCACTACCATTCAAAATTGTCACCTGCGCCGACGTTACCATTCAACTACAACTACTGCTGCACTCCTCCGTCTCTCCTTCCCGCTTCATCTTCGCATGCCTCCAACCCGCGCGATGTTCACCTCCAGCTCGTGCCAACCCTTCTTCACGCAAACGTCTGTGTCGGCGTTTGCCTGCTTCCTCCAGCCAACACAAACCCTTATTCTCAAGCTGACGTTCGCCTCCTGCCTTCAGCCCATTCTCAACAGTACTTCGATCAAAGCTTCATTAATTTAATTTGGTGAAGGTTAGATCCACCAATCTCTTGTTCGTGCAAATCTCCATCTCGTCTATAAAAATCAGTTTTTTTTTTTTTTTTGTTTTTTTTTTTTGTTGCACTAATCAGGGTTGTTTTGTGAATCACGGGATATTTTGAGAAAGAAATGTGTAGAACCAGTAAATGACGTCTCAATGCAGGTGTTAATCTTAATCCCAATGCTATTAAGTTTATCCAAAATCAACTATATGTTCTCAAGTAAATTATCAAGTCTTTTCTGTATTCTAGTCTTCTCATAGGAATTCTTACAATGGGTATAGAAAATCTGAAGTTATAACTTAGGGGGATTTACAAACATGCCACCCAATTCATAATGAATTTACATATCCAACATCTAAATTTTTCTTTTTCATGAATTGATGAAAGTGTTATAAAAGTAAAAATTAAATCTTAGGTGTCAGGTAAGTAAATGCATAGAAATTGGGTGGTATGTATGTAATTCTTCCTATAAGTTACTTGATTTATTACAACCTTCCTTTTAGATCCAACAATTTTCAAATATGAGCAATCTTGATTATGAAAGGAGCAAGATCGGAATTGAAAGTTTTTGGAAAATGATCTAAAATGGTTTGTTGAATGAATTTTGGCTTATCATTATAAAAATTGCACAATTCATCAAGTTAGCAAAGATTTCACTCTACTAGACCTACTTAATTTGTCATATTTAAGAGTGAGGTAAATCAGAATAAAGAAATTGATAAAGTCAGTATTTAGACCTGGAGTTGGGAGATTTTAGCAGTTGGGAGATCTTTCTTCAAAGCCAATGATATTGGCGACATTGCCAAAGAAAAGCCAGGTAGATGAGTGATAAATTACTCATGATTAGTTTGAAGCTACTCTGTTAGTTTTATCTTCTGCGTAATTCCAAATAATGGTTTGGAATTTAGCATTTTCTCAACCAGATTTAATGCTTTTGATTCAAGATATTTGCCACCGTTTTGTAAGCATGAAAAGATGCATTTAACTTTTTAAAAGTTAAAATAGTAGTAGTTTTAACATTATCATTTATCTTCTAAATGTGCTGACTAATCTTTCTAAATGTGTTGACTAATCTTTCTATGCCAAACATTATGTTGGATCGCTCTACTGCCTTGAAAATGGTGGTATTTCTTAATGTTTTTTCATGAATATCGCATGCAAACTATATGTTCAGCTTCTGGAAATACACACCATAATGCCTCAATCAAACCCTTCTCTATGTCTGAGAAAAAATCTAATGGTGCAACTTCAAACTCAAAAGAAATAACTAAATTTCTCGTAAACCATTCTCAATACCTCTTTGACTCGGACTCAACTACTGCACATGCGATTGTAAAAAGTCAATTATTCTCATCCAACGCATTCGTCGAAAGCAAGACCCCAAGTATTTAGATTTTAAGTGGCATGCATCAAGACCCACAAGAAGCTTGCATCCAGCTTGAAAATCATTGATGCACACCTTAAAACTAACATACAATACCTCAAATGTTGGATCAATACTACTGTACTAAAAGGTAATATGAGCTTCTGACAAGCTCCGCACATAGTGCAAGAACCCACTTGAAATCATCATCAACTAATCCAAACATTTGATCTCGTGTTAATTGTTTGGATGTTCAAAACTTCATATAATGTAGGGACAAGTCGTAGTTACTTTCTAAGCCAAATTTTAATTATTTTGGAGACATGTCTGGATGGGCTTTTACCATATCTTATACTTTATCAGCCACCCAACTAGCCATTATTTATTCGTTATCAAATATATTGACACCTAGACAAATATGTGAAGCTTCTATTTACCTTACTTCAAATGTTTGCCCATCGGCAAACCCTGACCCTCTCACTCTCCATGGGCAGCCACTATAAAATTAAACGGCAATAACTCTCATTTTATCCCTCGTCTCAAAATTTATTACAAACTTTTCAGCAATGACCAATATCCGTAGAAATTGCTTCAAAGTTGCTGAATTTTTAAATTGAATGCCAACCTTTTAAGTACTATCGTTAGTCATTTGGCTCGTTAACTGTCCATCCATACACTCATCGAGTTTATATGTGCATCTACCGGTACTATCAAAGCTTGATTGATAGTACTCAATTAATTCACCGTCATTCGACATAATGATCTGTAAAATATTTGTAGAAACAAAGACAATTATTAAAAAATCAATGAAGTGCTCTATTATTATAAAGGAAAAATGTACTTTACTAAATATTGGATAAAATCTTAGGGGCTAAACTAATCTACGTCCAAATAAATGTTGGAATTTTGGAATGAAGCAAACAGGATGTTACTTCACATTCTCAAATTTATTTATCCATGTAACTAAAAGGTTACAGAATTAAGTCACACTCTCAAATCAACCAACCAAATGGATCCAAAAGTGATTTACACTAATTTAATATTGTTCAGAGGATTTCCAATCCATTTTCATTTCCTTCAGTTCAGTCACACATTCAAACAGAGATTATATGCACACACAGCTAGACTCCAGTGTTCGAGCTTCACAGACACCATTTAAAAGTATAAGAGACGACTAATGAACGCATACAAAAATTTACTACAACATATAAAGGATAATAATTGATGAGGACCAGTTCACAAGCATTGTTTGAATACATATCAGCATAACTCTTTACCTACTACATAAAGTGACAGACCCACCATAGCTCTTCACCTACTGCTAACTCATTGCATCATGTGGTACAGGAATACATATCAGAAGCTCAAGTAGGAGCTAGATGTTGCAAATAATGCAGAAAAGAAGTATGCTCAAAGTATGGTAGTCGTTCCATTCCATCCTGTGGCTAAAGAAGGATCCAAAGCAAGTTCACAGGCTTATGCGAATAATGCAGAAAAGAGGTGAATGAAAGGATCGATGTGAAAAAAAAAGGGGAATGAAACAATAATCGGGTCATGACTTTAAACGGGAAGAAGGAAGGACATATCGCGCAAGAGGCGAACGTCGGCACGGACCTTCGTGGGAAAAAGGGTTGGCGCGTGTTGGAGGCAGGAAACTACCGGCTTCCATGGCTAAGAAAAAGGATTTTAGATTTTTGGGTGGTTGTTTTGAAATATTTGAAGTTGAGATGTTCATTTTATCATTAGTAAATTTTTAAGAGGTGGGTAAGTAAAAAAACTTAAAGTTAATTGCAAATAAATTCTTCAAAACATTCATCTTTGACCAATCTTGTATCTAACTTCCTTTCATTTTTTAGCTTAATCCATTTTCCTATTAAGATCATTCCATATGCCAGAAAATTCAATAAATTCTTATTACATTAAGAAGATACAGAGAATACGAACCTTGATAAAAGATGCAACTAATACATTCTTTACTCCGACTCTTGCAAGCCTCCTAGCACCACGGATCCAACAAACAGACCAGCAGCTCCAACCCCAAGCAAGGCGGCAACAAACGCCTGTGCCGCAACGAGTAAAGCCGAATCATCCGGGATGAGCACGATCGCCGCTACGGCAGCGATAATGAGAGGCAAGGAGAAAGACGCAAGTGTCGATGGTGACGACCCCGCTGCCTTCTCAAAAAAGCTGAGAAGGCCTAGCTTCTCTGCTTTGGAGAAAAAACCAAGCTTCTCAATGGATGAAAGTGTAAAACCTAACTGTTCCGCCTTGGAGAGGAGGCCAGCTTTCTCCACTCCGCTCAACACTTTCCTCTCCTCCAGTTTCTTCACCACGTCAACGCTGACCTCCTCGGTTCCCTCGGAGAAGATTCCCGCTCCATACCACTGCTTCTTCCAGTTCTTGTCGTATCTGTTGACCTAATTTTAAAACAGTGGAGAAATAATTAGGTTTTCGTGAGGATTAGAAAGGCAAAAGAGGATTTCATTTGTATAACCTTCTTTTTCGTCGCCATGGCGAGGAACTCTAGAGATTTTGTTTGAGATGGGGATAAGCGATATGAAGAAGGGGAAGAGAATGCGGCGGTTGCGGCGGTTGCCGCGGAAGAGATTGCCGTTGCCACCATTTGAGCTTAAAATTGAATCTGAAAATTTTTTGGATTTCTTTGGAAGAAATGAACGTGGTTTTCATGTTGCGGAAAGGTCTGGTTTTCACTCAACGTGGGTGAGAGGATTCGGGGCCATTCAATTTGAGCCACTAGAGAATGGTGTGGCCTTATCTAATGGGACCCATTTATAAAAGGAACTTTGGGTATGTTTTGGAATTTGTGATTAATTTTATTAAACATATTCTTTATCAAATTATTTTTCAAATGGCTTGGTTATATTATCTAATTATTTAGTTATTTCTTTATTTCAGTTATATTTTTTAAAAATTTAGCATTATCTCAAATTAAAAATATTTGTAATAATATAGACCGCATTTGACTCAAATTATGTTGAAAAAATATAAAAAGGAAAAATTAAGGTTTTATCTTATGTTAGAATCAAAATTGTCCTTTGAACACCCCAACCATATTACTATAATGTGGAAAAAAAAAAAAAAACTTAATGATAGAGAAACTGAAGAGAGACTTTGCAAGAAGAAAGCTTTGATATATATTTTCTATTGAAAAAAATAAAGTACATGACTATAAGCCATCCATACTATGATAGATGAAATATTTGCATATAAACTGTCGATTTTGATGGTCATTGAGAGCATAAAATACAAGTATGAAATCTTTTTTTTTTTTTTCGAGCAAGGGTCATCTAAATCTTTAAAATCTTATGTAGGATAATGTCGTTAGACTAAGATTGCTTTAAATTTGTCATTGATGGACTCAAACTTAAGGAGTTTTTCGAATCCAGAAATCAAGTTTTATGATGTAATCTTTATGGGTTTAGAGGCTATTAAAAATAAATTAAATTTCATTTATATCATCCAATTATTCTTAGGAGTGGTTTGATGGATGTTACATCTGGTACTATGGAATTCTTCATAACGATCTAGTATAACAACTTTAGAGGATGGATTATAAGATTTAGTATATTTTTATGGAAAATTAATGTATAAATGTGACATTATTGTTGTCATTTCGGGTTCAACATTTACATGGACATAGATCAATCATATCTTAATAATGCAAAATAAATTAAATTAATATACAAATTGTTTATTATTACAACACTATTTTCATTGCTTCGTGCAATCTCTTTCATGATTTTAACAGTTAATCACACAATTTATTTCATGGTTATGATAGTTTTACACTTGTGGAAGAAATATTTGTTGTGTATTGCAGGATACCAAATGCAGAGCTAGCGTAGGGGAGCTAAATAATGAAGATGGACTAAATAGGACTAGCACACTTGTGACATAGCAAACCCAAACCTTCCATTTAAAGGAGGTGGTGCACCCTCACCGAAACCTGGTGTGCCCGGGCCACCACCTATAGGAAGCGTTTAAGTCGCACCACGCAGTATGATCCTGATTTTATATGACAGTACGATGTATGCAGTTATAATTTTAATTTTTCCTTACATATATTTCTTACTTTGCAAAGGTGCAAAAAACTTGACTTTGAAGCAAATAAGAATGTAATTATTATATTTAAATATAAGATACTACGCAAGTATACGTATCGTTATCAATTATTATAGAATTTTATTAAGCTCCAAATATCGAACCCACTGAGGGAAATCCAATCTTTTAATAAGTCAGAAGAAATTAGGTAACAAATTCTACTTTGCAAAATACTCTTACTCAAACTATAAATGATATATCAGGATTGAATGTTCGATTCTTTTTGGTAATTTTTTTATAATTAAAAGTAAAGTAAACAATTAACTAAATTTAACAAGATTATTTGTAAGATGAAGGCAATACAAATAAAATATTTTTTTTCTTATCATGAATCAGTAACAGATATAGGAATTCTATTGTGAAAGTATTCAAATTATGTTGTGTCAAATACAAGCAATAATATTCTTTACCCTTACTAAAGATGTTATAAAGAGCATTGACTAATTTAAAGTTTGATTAGTCTTGAAGAAAGGCTAGGTAAGGAAGATACTAGCTCTCTTCCCTCTTCTCCCTCCACCTCCTCCACCTGGGGCTAATATCTCATATCAAAACCTAAAACTATAAACCAAATTGGGGGCTTTAGCCTGTCACTCTAAATTTCTCTATTTCTACACCATTCAAAGTTTGTTTCCCTGTTTATTTGCACTCAACCACATGAATTGCATTACTCAACCACATGAATTGCACATGAATTGCATTCTCATCCATACAATTTCATGTGATTCTTACCATTAGTTGACTGAGACAATACCATCACAAATCTTAGATGTTCTCACAATAAATATTAACATCTTAATTGGCCAAATCAAAAAGTAAAGAAGTATAAGGTTTAAAATCATCATAAATTAAAATCATCATTAAGGTTTAAAATCATCATAAATTATTCCAACATTAAAGATTAATACTTCACACAACTTCCATCCAATACTTAATCACTTATCATTTCAAGGAAAAAGATAAAGAAATTACTCAGAATTTATAGAGAAAGCACAACCACACTAAGGTTTAAAAGTTGATATCATGCAAACAAACAAGAAGTCTAAATTAAAACCAAATGTAGTCACAAAGATAAAAACTTATCTCAAATCCTCTCCATCAAACCCATGAATTTCCTTTGAATCTCTTCTCTTTCCTTTCTCTTACAATATTCTCTACTCACACACTACAACTCCTCTCTTCTTCTCTCCAATAAAATATCCTAATTAATCTATGAGTGAGGAGTTGTTTGCGTCGCTATGGGGGCGTAGGAGTCACTCTAGGGCGTCGAAGAAAATGTAGGAGAGATTTTTCAATCCAATCCACATCTTATTTTATAATTTTCCAAAATGTGTCTCTTTAAAATGTGTCCACATTTAATGAATCTTCCAAGAGTTGCCTCCTTTCAAAGTACAATTGAATGTATTTTCGAGTCCATTAACCATATCCCACATTTTCGCCAAGAGTTGCTTCAAACACCTCTTCAAAAATTTATCCAAGTTCATTGACTCATTAAGTAACTGCCTTTGGCACTTAAGCGCGAGATATGTGGCACTTAGGCGCGACCTTCTCTATTTTCCTGACGGGTAAGTGTCAATTCTGGGCGCTTAGGCGCCACAGTTCTTTTGCGCATCTTATTCATTTTTTGCTCCAAATTTGTTCATTTTTCACTCCTTTCACCATTTTTCATGCATTTGATTGTATCCAAAAGAAAAACATACAAATACCTTCCATTAAAGTGCAATATCCTTAAAAATAGGAATAAAAATATGTACATAAATACTATATATTTTAGGTGTATTAAAATCCCCCAAATTTAAAATGTTATTTGTTCTCAAGTGACATTTCAATCTTTTAAAACCAAAATAAGTAGATTATGTAATTGAAATTCTTTAGGATATTCTAAAATTTTGATCTAGAATATAGTAGTCCAATTTTGAAATAACTTTAGTACATGAGGCCAACTTAAAGTTCAGAAATTTTTAATGTAAAGAAGTTTGAAAATATGAGTTCCTATCTAGTTCAGAAATATTAAGAAATTCTGTAAATATAGAGTTTAGGCATTCTATCTTCTGCAATTAAAATTTTTTATTAAGAATAATTACACTTACTATGCTATATCCTTAAACTTTAGAGTTTCTTAAGTCTCATACTTTAAAAAGATCAGATATGGGACCAATTTTTGATTAGGCACTAATCCTCAAGCTTCTCCTCCCTATTTCAACTTTCTTTTCTTTTTCTTTTGAGGTTTACTATATCTGGATAGGTCTTTAATGATTTTGAATTCCTCTCATTTTTTCCTAAAGCAAAATTTTGATATATATCCTTTACTTCAAAATATAATAATTATTTTGAAAATTATTTTTAATATAAGAAATTTAAGTATTGAAAAAAAGTCTAATCCTTCTATATTTTTCAAAAAATAGAATTTCTCCTACTAAAGATAGTTACACGATATTTATCATTTCTACACCAAAACAACATTTTAACTTTAAGTTTTTCTTCATTACTATAGGTTTCTACTAAATTCTCTTACTCATTTCTATATTCATAATTTTACTTCCCTAATATAACTTCATTGAGGTTTTAATCCCCAAAAATCGAATCTCTTAACTTCCAACACATAATTGAGGGGCATCTAAATTTTCCTAGAAATATTGTCTACTCATTGACATCAATCACAAGTTTTTATATAAGCATTAACATCTCTAAATATTGTAGACCAATAAAATTCAGATAGCAAATTTTTGTATGTTGTTTTATCAACACCAAAATGTTCCCCAAAATCAGAATTATGACATTTTTGGATAATTTCATAAGCTTTTTCTAAAGGCACATATCTTCAAATAATTAGATCCATTCCTTGTTTATATAAATATGGGTCATTCTAAAAATAAGCCTTAGCTTCAGATAAAAATTTCCTCTTCTATTGGTATGTCATTCCATAGGGTATAATTAATTTTATTCCAATTAAGTATCATCTGAATTTATCAAAAGCATGTACTATTGTTAATATCTCTTTCTCAATTGTGGTATAATTAATTTGAGTTTCATTAAGAGTTTCACTAGCACAGTAAATTACTTTGAAAATCTTATCACACTTTTTTCCTAAAATAGCTTGTCGGTTGCCAAATTGGAAGTTGTCGGTCGTCGGAATAAGAATCCTGTCGCATGCTTTTATTTAATATATGTATATAATTTTGAAATGTAATATTATAAGTTTTGAAAATATAAGGCCGAGTCGATCTCATATCTTTAGTAGTTTAAATAAATGAGCCTAACACCGTAGGCTATGCATTTATCCTGAAGGGTAGACACATTACCTAATTGTGAGGCTAGATTAAATAATCTAAAGAATTTACGACATCCATTTAAGTCTGTGAAAAGATATTTTTTAAGTTGACTAGCATGTTCCCATTTTTATGTTGCCTGACAAGTTCTCATATTAAATAGGGTTTATATTAAGCTTGGTTCTTGAAAGTTTCTTATAAGAGCAAGCCCCTATAGCTAATTACATTTTAGATAACCGAAGTCACCTAAGAAAACTCTCGATTAAGATTAGGGAATATTGTTCTCAAGAATTTCAAGGGGTAGGATTTTTCATAAGGTCGGACAAACAGGTGTGAAAGGGGAA